ATCATCTTGTATTTGCGCATCAAATCAAAGGCAAAATTAAAAAATCAATTACAAATAGACACTCTTTATTTCTCACAAAAGTTAAAATAAGAACAGTTTTATGAAATAGATGGGGTAATTTTTACTCCCAACCCCTCTCCCCTCAAAACCCACTTTGCCCACCTTGTCCCCACCCTAACACTCCTTCGCCCCTAGCCTCCCCCCACAACCTTTCTATGCCTATTTGTACATTATTAATACTCCCCCCGTTCCACAAAATTCTTCCTCTTTCGTTTTTTTTTCTTTCCAAAAACACTTCCACTTTCTATTAAAAACCACTTTTACCCATACATTTTCATACCCTACTTATCACATCATACTTTTTCACTAATAACCAAACTATCACATCTTACTTTTTCCCATCACATCAGGGGCAAAATTAGAAAGTCAACCAAAATTACACTTTCCTTATTTTTCCCCAAAGTCAAAACCGGAAAGGTTTTTGGAGTGATTAACTTCTGGATAAAGTGATTTCCACAAAAACATAAAGCAAAAGCATCTCATACCTGCTTCTCAAAAACGGTGTTCTGTGTATAAAATAGTGGTGGTGAAAAGCAGAAGCTGACATGCCAAACAGAATAAAATCACTTCTACTCAAAGCAGAAGCTAAATTATTAAAAGCAGCGTAATGCCAAACACCTCTTAGTGCCTCTATTGGCAACTCTATTACTCGAATGCAGAGTATCTTAATAATACACATTCTTTTGAAAATTGTTTGTAAATTTTCAAAGATTTGGTTAAGTATAAAAGGACTATCTATCACAAAAAGTGACTTATGCAATCATGTTTGGTTGACCCTTTAGGATTTTGTCTTGTGAATGAGATGAAAAGTCTATAGCTTTGTTTAATGTGTAATTTACTGATATGGATGGTGGATTAGTTATATTTTTTATTAATTAGTAGTAATTTAATATTCAATAGTTAATCTTGTTTAGGGTTTTAGTATGGGCCCGAGCCCATTAGGTTAATTGGGGTGTTTCCCCACCCCTTCGTCTCTATATATTGTAATCAATCATTTTTACCTGAATCAATCAATAATCAAGAATTTTCTTAATCTCTCGTCTCTCTTTTTTTGGAGTTCGGAAACGCTCGAAGTTTTCCTTCTCTCTTTGCCTCCCCTTTCTTGGAGCCCGAAGAACGCTCGAAGTTCTTCCTTATCCGGTACGATATTCGTATCAATTGGTGCTCTCATTGAGAGAAATTTCCAAAAAAACAAAAACAAAACGAAAAAACAAAAAAAACAAAAAAAACGCAGATCTGCAACATCTGCCCCTAGAGATAATTACAATCACCGGCAGATTCAATTGCTTGCCGCCGCTCACATATTCTAGCAGTCGCCTTTGCCCTTGCCGGATTCTTGTGCCGCTGCAATCCCGAGTTCACTGCCACAACTGCAGAACCCAATTGCTACGAAATTGTTTGGGGGCCGATCAGTCTTCATAGCCGCAAGCGTTTTATTTGGAGTACAAGGTGTAAGGATTCAAGGGCCTGTTGACGGGAAAAAAAATCCCGCCCGTCGATCGCTGCACATTCCGGCTGTCCAGATGCTAAAAAGAAATCAATTGCCGGCTGATCCAGAAGTCAGGAAGCTCAATTCGCTTGTCGCTGCCCAAAATTCTGCGGAGTAAGACCAAATTTGTTGCCGCCTTAATCATAGCAGGATCTTTTTTTTTCTTGCTGCAAAATTGTTTTCGGCTTTTGCAAGCCCAAGGAAAAAAAATGATGTCCATCATGCACCATGATTTTTTGTCAAGAATGGAGGCTCGATTCCTACAGTTAGAGGCTTTGATTATATGTACCGGTGCATTGGACAAACTCATTAATTTGCTAGAGAATGTTCTATATGGAGAAATTGAGCACCATGAGGGAGTTTGTCCACTTTACGATCACATAGACGAAATTATAAAGAATCTCCGGTCATTTCGTCATATTGAAGGTCGGTCAAATTATGATTCTGACTTACACACATTTGACATTGAAATCTCTTGCGCGATACAGAATTTGGTCCGTGGGCCCCCAATTTTGTCGGAGTTACAAAACTTTAGAACAAATATGTTGGGCGCTATTAAAATTCTCATCGATACTCCGCCTTCTGCACCAAATCTGGTCTCTACAGTAGTTGAGAAACACACTGAAGCACATGGTCAAGCATCTAAGGAGGAATCAAACGTTGACTCACAAGTTGGAGATGAAGTGGACATCGGGCCTGAAACAATAAACAGAGATGACGGGAGGTCCAACGTTGTGGAAACAAATGAAGGTCCTCTTGCAGCAAATGTTGCTCATGTCGACAAGCCTGATTCTACTTTTCATGAATTTTATACCTCAGTTGGATGGGTCATTTCAAAGTATGATGTTCCAAAAAGTGTTGACAAAGTGGTAGATGCAAATGGTAAGAAAGCATGCTCACCTATTTTGATTCACACCATCAAGTTATTTGAGCTGATCGATGTTGTCAAGTATGAGCACTTGGGTTCAAAGAAAATAGTTCAATGCAAGTCTGGTCATCTCTCTTATTTCTACCGCTATACTTCATCTGAGAAGCTTCTTGAAGAGTGGTCAACAAATGAATGTCTCTTCTGGTTCGTCGCATACTCACGTATCCAAAAGCATGAGTGGGATCCTCCACCTTGAGGACAAGGTGATTTTTAAGGGGGTGAGAATGATACGGATGGTGGATTAGTTATATTATTTATTAATTAGTAGTCATTTAATATTCAATAGTTAATCTTGTTTAGGGTTTTAGTATGGGCCCGAGCCCATTAGGTTAATTGGGGTGTTTCCCCACCCCCTCGTCTCTATATATTGTAATCAATCTTTTTTACCTGAATCAATCAATAATCAAGAATTCTCTTAATCTCTCGTCTCTCTTTTCGTGGAGTTCGGAAACGCTCGAAGTTTCCTTCTCTCTTTGCCTCCCCTTTCTTGGAGCTTGAAGAACGCTCGAAGTTCTTCCCTATCCGGTACGATATTCGTATCATTTACTTAAATAAGATTAAAACATAATGACTTTCTCAATATAAGACAATATGTTTTTATTTTTCAATGTAGGAAATAAAAAAGCGTAAGTCCTACATTGAAAAATTAATTATGTTTTAGTCTTATTTAGTACAAATGAGACTTGTTTAATACGGTTAATACTTTATCACCACATTTTAATCTTTTTATTGTTCGTTATATCAACCTTTATCATAAAGTTGTGCATCATAATCTTACTTAATCCATATGACAAACGACGCGATACCATCATTTTATTTAGGGCTTGTTCTCCATGTTAGAAATTTGTTTTAAGGAAGAACTCTGCGAAGCAGCATTGACAAAAAAATGAACAAAGAAACGAATGAGTTATGACTTGATACTTTCAAGAATCGGGTAAATGATTTCAGATCAAAAGTATTTCAGGGTATACCAAAATACTTAATTGGACAAGACGTTAATAAAGAAAAAGCACTTCCCATTTATATATCAACCCATACCTACGTACGTCTCTTTATTTATAGAAATGAAAAGCCATGATTAGACACATACGTTCGTGAAAATGCGTTCGTACAGCGAACTCACGAATTACATGTGATTTTTTTGATTAATTTTTATGTACACGTGTTAGATGTCCCCAACAAAAATTAATGTGCCCCCATCTAATCATATCAAATTTATTTTTTTTGATTAATTTTTTAGTAAAGTGTATTTTATTGCATATAATTATTTGTGTATAAAATAAAATTTTACATTGCGTTTAAAAATGGTTTACATTTAATAAATGTTTGAAGCAAAATTCATCATTTATTTATTTTTTGTCATTTCAAATAGCCTGTAAATAATTCAGAAACACTGCTTAGGACCCCCGACCAATGGTGCCCCCATCTAACTGAACTTCTGGATCCGCCACTGGGTAAAAATATGATGTGATAGTACATTATTAGAGATAAAATATAATGTGATGAATTTGGTAAGAGTTACGAAGTAGTAGGGATAAAAGTAAGTTTTTAATAGAAAGTAGAAGTTTTTGTTAAAAGAAAAAAAAAGCAAAAGAGGAAAAGTTTTGGTAAATAGGGGAGTAGTAAAGAATAACTTTTCAAAACTCTAAAATGCCAAAGATTATATACTCCATAAAATAAAGTTGTAAATTCATAGTAATATTCACATTATTTTGGTCTAAAATAATGCTAACAATTACTCCGGTATTTTAGAACGGTAGACTTTTGTTTTTTGTCAAAATGAAACATATGCAGACATGGTGCATGACATATTGACATAGATACACTATTTCCTTCATCTCAAAAGGATTCGATCATTTTTACTATTATCCATGCTTTTTTAAATCTCTTTTCAAGGATTATTTGATAAAATAACATGATTTTATCATGGTGTTTACGTTGGGTGCTCCCAACATTTTGTGAGCATATACAACTTAGTCATTGAAGTCACACTTTAAAGTCTAAAAGGCATACATACCCATATTATATTTTTATTTTTAATTGCTTCATCGGTAGTGAATAGACTTACAATTATATTTCCTTCCATGTTTGTTTAATTTGTTGAGGCATTAATGATTCACCATTTGGGAGTATAATTTGACAGGGTTATGATGAGGTGGGGCCATTTCCAGGCTACAAACATCTACATCTAGAAAACAACGTAAACTGCGCTGAAACTTGCAACGAATATAGCGTTGGAGGAGGAAAAGGAACCGAAAGTGGAAACGTATCGGTTAAATCAGATTATTATTAATATTACTACCAAAAACCAAAATCTTCTTTAAGAAATGCATTTGCTGCTACTTCTGTCAACACAGAATCACCCAACAGTTTTGCTGAAAAGAGTGTAGTCCACGGAGCCGCCGAATTAAGGAAGATTGGAAAGAATCCTTGTAACGTTGTTGTGCCACCATCAGACTCTTCTGCTCAACCACAGCAACCAAAGAACAAAGGGTTGATTTTCTCTTGGCTGAGGAAGAAAATCATGAACGAATTTTCACCGCTAAGGACGACGTCGGAATCAGAGGATATAGGGTTGGCATCCATAGAAGCATTGAAGAAGGAGGTGATGGCAGCGAATGAGGACAGAGACGCAGCACTGATGGAAGTTGCAGAAATGAAAGCTTCTATCGGGGAAATCAGGGGAAAATTGGAGTACTTGGAGAAATACTGTGGAGAGCTTAAGCAGGCGTTGAGGCTAGCAATTCAACCATCAAAGGAGGACTCACCAGTGAAGCAAATTAATAAGAGTCTTCCAAGAATTGTGGAAGGAGGAAACTCAATGCCAGTGAGCGAGGAAGTAATGTTGGAGGGCTTCTTGCAAGTCGTCTCTGAGGCTAGACAATTGGTTAAGCAGTTCTGCGAAACTCTTATTTCCCACACAACAACTGTCGAGACTAATAACGACAATGATTCCTTAACGGATAACTTGAACCTTCTACTCCAACCGTACAGAATGACCCTCCATTCAAAGTATTCAAAGGTTGTTCTATACCATTTGGAAGGCATCATAAACCAGACCTTGTACGAGGATTATGAGAATTGCTCGTTTTAGAAGAACGGAGCCCCAAAGCATTTGAGTCCAGAACAAGAACGACACTCGCAATTCTCATCGTTTGCGGCATTAAGGAGCCTTAGTTGGAATGAAGTGCTAAAAAGGGGGACAAAGTATTACAGTGAAGAGCTCAGCAGGTTTTGTGATAAGAAAATGAGTTCCCTAATCACTGCCCTTAAATGGAACAGGTAATGGCCCAAGCGGCTTCTCCAAGCCTTCTTCGTGTCTGCTAAGTGCATTTGGCTGCTGCATTTGCTGGCGTTCTCATTCTGCCCGCCTGTGGTAATCCTCATAGTTGAAGAGAAAAGACCATTTGATTCTCATTTCATGGATGATGTTTTCGGGGATAGGCAAAAATCTCAAGGTCCAAGTCGGGTTAAGGTCATGGTCATGCCTGGGTTTTACGTGCACGACAGAGTACTGAGGTGTAAGGTCATCAGTAGGTACAAATCAGCAGCCTAGAACTACTGCATTTTTACATTTCATGGTCATGGGAATTGCTATGCTATCTAACCTAGCTTTAAGTAGTTCAATTTTACTCTCTTCCTCCCATATCTTTCCTCTTATTTTTATTTGTGTATTCAACGTTTTTTAAACTTTGATCGCAAATTAAGTAAAACATAAATTGAATTGTGATATAAATTTATTATGAATAGATTAATTTTCAGATTAATTTTCAAAAGTAGTTTTAAAATATCATATTTTTTCTAAATATTTGTTTAATTATAGATAGAAATATTAATGGCCAAAATATAATGTAGATAAACAATGGAGAAAATCTTGAAGTGACTCTTTAACATCCCAGACTCACTTCTAAGATTTTCAACTCAATTTATCCAATGAAAACTAGACACGAGTAATTCGTAACAATTATTTTCTGAAAATAAAATGGTCAATTTATTCATATTTTATTGACTTTATGGTCAATTTTTAACTCAAAATTTGGATGATGCAATGGGAAGCGTGCAAGGGTGCGTAAGGGACGGGTTGGGTTTGGGGTGTTTACTGGGGGTAAGGAGAGTAAGAATAATTAATTTTACGACCGTAGCACCGTAGGTGCCCCAATTGAATTGGTCTAACAATCTTACACTGATTCAATTGGTTTAAAATATCATATCTTTATAATCTCTATTCATAAATAGAGATATCAATACTCAAAGTGTTGTACTTATTCCCGACATTTGCTTTCATGTTTGTTATTGTAAATTTGTATCTATGCAAAGTGTAAAAAGATTTTAAAAAAAGAAATAATTATAAATAGGAGTAAAACATAGAAAAAATACCAAAATATGAACTCCATCCTTTTATCCCCAAAATAGGGTTTGCATTGTGGTAATGTGACATCGTATATAGATATTTGACAATATTTTTTCATAATGTATATGGTCATGATTCGTACTATATATGCATTTTAACTCTTATATCAAGAATAAAAACATGGAATTCTTATTTTGGTAAAATATTGATAAAGCTAGGATTGAAAAACCATATTTTCAATGTTTTACTCCTAGATATGTTTGGGTCCAGCTAGGATTGGCCTGGTTTATTTTTTAGCCCGTTTATTTCTTGTTTCTTGGGGAACAAGTTTCGTAGCCCAAGGTGTCTTCTTATATATACGCATCTTGTGCTTGTAATTCGGTAGACACAACAAGTGAATAAAATCCTCATGTTGCAGTCGTGAATTAGGGAAACCGAACCACGTTAAGTTCTTGTGTGTCGTTTGTGTTCCGTTCTCTCATTTTTTTCTCACAGATATTTGTATGTGTAGTGTGTTTAATTTCAAACAGTCCCTTACACAAATGAGTTTTTTACGTCATTTACTCGTGAACTCTTCATAAAGTGCATATTTTCCCCCGAACTTCTAAAGATACACCGTTAGTCTCTATGCTTTTTCATAAAGTGCGTGTTTTGCCTCCAAACACTTTCAAAAGTACATATTTTCCTTCAAAACTTTGAAAAATACACCATTAAGGCATCTTCAATGAGAGTTTTGAGCAAGCCTAAAGAGAGTCTTAGGCCTCGTTCTGTTCAACTTATTTTTCTAATTTTTTCTTATTCTTATTAAAATCAGATCAGATCAGACAAGATCAGACCTCATCAGATAGGGGTGGGCGCGGTCCGTGACGGTCCGTAATATCACCGGAACCTATCACGGACCGCTCTTATTTAAACGGTTCGGTATCGATACGGTATGAACCCAAAACCATTCGGTACCATTCCGTTTCGAAACGGAACGGTACAATACCATAACCATGTTCAAACCGTGCCAAAAAAATGAACATGCATCACTAAAAAAATATTAAAATAAAAGCATAATTTTGTATACAAAACCACAACTTTGTATCATCCCGTTTGTTATCGGTTCGGTTTCGTTTCGTGATGAAAAAAAATCCATCTCGTTTAAAAAAACACTATAAACGGTTCGGTACCATTACGGTCTGGTATGGTAATGTTGGTTCAGTTTTTTGGCCCACCCCTATCATTAGATCAGATCACATCAGATTCAATCAGAATTATTATTATTATTATTATTATTATTATTATTATTAAACAATGAAAAAGAATAAACTTTAGAAATAAGTTAAATAGAAAACTGAGAAAGTAATCCATAATTATTAGACGTCAGGGAAATTATTTTTAAAATACATTGACAATGTCAATCTAATTCTACTTTTAAAATACATTTTTATTTCTACCTATAATTTGAGTTTCTAAAGTTTTGATCTTTTACTATCGAGTTGATCAGCTTTGATCATGACTTAAAAAAACTTAACATTTGATATTCATATACGGAGTATATTTTAGTGTAACTGAAATAAATATTATATCTATGGTGTTATATTAATCATAAAAAAAGTTTTATAGTATAAAGCACACGCTGACATTTTATAAGGATGAGATATTTTAATAAAAATACTATATCTTCTCTATATTGATTATCTAAAATTAATTACTTTTTAATGTATATATGAATTAAATATTTATTCTAATGTATATATAAAATAATTATTAAAATATTAAATAAATATTCTTATTTCATAAAAAAATAATCATATAATGAAAAATATTATTACATTATAATATGAATGATTATTCTAATATATGAATTAACTAATTTTATTTCATTAAAGAATAATCATAAAATAAAAAATATTGATTATATTATAATATGAGTTATCATTACAATTTTCAAAAGTTATTATAAAGTCAGATCAAATTATTGATTTGAATTTTAAATCAAATCATAATTAATTAGATCAGATTAGATCAGACCAAATCAGATTAGATCCAATCAGATCAGATCAGATCAGATCAAAGCAGATCCGATCTGATTAGATCAGATCCAGTCAGATCAGATTAGATCAAACTACAAAAAACCATATCAGATCAAAAATAAATAAGTTGAACGAAACGGACCCTTAAGACTCCCTTATCAAGACTTCATTGAGGCAGATAAAAAGTTGGGAACATCTTAAAGTAATTTTTGAAATCTCACACTCACTTCTAAGACTCCAAAATCAATTTATCCAATGAGAACTACACATGTAATTCATAACAATTATTTTCTAAGAATAAAATTTTCTTCAAATTTTGTAAAAACCAAAAAAGTTAAAAAAAAACAAAAAATATTAATAACTTCAAAAAATTAAAATGTTAAAAAACCTAAACCATTTGTTGTGCTTTAGTGAAATGTTCTCATTTGGTAGAAAATTCTATGTTTAGTAAAATTATATATTCGATAATTGATCTAATATACTTAAATTTAATGGAATAAAAAACAGTGGAATACTAAGAGGGAAGAATCTAAAAAAATACGGTAAAATACTAAGAAGAATCTAAAAAAAAGTGGCACAGTCCGAAAAAGTTTGAATATTGGGGTAATTTTTTTTGAAAGTCTTAAGAAGAATATAAAAAAATAAAAAGTTGACGTAGCAGAATTTGAAAAAGTCTCAATTAAGGCTGCTTGCATTGGGGATACCTTAAGTCCTTATTTTTTTCATAAATTGCTTGTTTTCCCTTCGAACTTTCAGAAGTGTATTGTTAGTCCTATTATTTTTTCTTTTTATTGCAGTTTGGTTACTTAACGTTAAGCCAAAAGAAATTTTTAAATTTTTAAGAATTCAACCTTGCACCATTTAAAAAAAATACTCCCTATAAGATTAATAATGGTGCACTTTAAAATTTTATGGGAAAACATGCATTTTTTAAAGAGTTCCGGCTAAATAATGTATTTTAGTAAAAGTATATGGAATAATGTTACATTTTTTAAAAGTTTAAGAGAGAGATTACACTTTGTGAAGAGTTAAGAAGTAAATGACGCAAGAAAATGTCTTAAACAAATTTGTTGGAATTAAGCACACCATCACTATGTAAGCATTTATAAATGTAAATAGAAATCTCCATAGATAGAAGTATAAAAGTATGAAAATTTCAAGGTCTAAGTTGATCTTTTGAAATCAAAATAGAAGTATAATGGTAGTGTTATGTACGAGTACGCGTCGAAAGTGTGATAAAAACTAAAATGATGATAGTATAATATAACAATGTGATCAGTCAATCGTCGGTGATCTGCAACGGCATTCTGAGTGCCCGGTAGCGAAGATAATGAGAGTGTGACAATGTGGTGAATAAGACTGTGTAACATAATCGATTGCATGAACACTTATTTCTATCTTAAAGACTTAAGTTCTTGTTTTGGTGTTTTTTTTATCTAGAGAATTCTCCAAATGTGAACAATACAACATGAGCATGGACATAGTCTCCAAATGTAAAGAATACAATATGAGCATGGAAACAAAAACTAAACCATGGCTTCATAGGGTTGACCATATTTTTTTTTTAAATACTTTATTTAGTACTCTCTCAGTCGTTGTTAAATCGTCTATTACCCCGTATTATTTACAAAGTTTGACTAAAATTATTTTAACCTCAATTTAGTTGAATGTTGGTATGAAATTAAAAAATACTTCGTAAAATTTATATATTTAAAAAATGCATAAAATTACTCCATAATATATTTTTAAAAACTACACCAAAAAACAAAAGATGACACGTCTATATTATTTTCTCAAATGGATAGTAAAAGAGGTAAAGAACATGATTAAAA